CTATCTATCTATATATATATATATATATATATATATCTATCTATCTGTTCACACTATGTTCACATCTATCTATCTATCTATTCATCATTATCTATCATTGTTCTATCTATCTATCTATCTATCTATCTATCTATCTATCCCATCTATCATTGTTCATCTATCTATCTATCTATCTATCTATCAATCTATCTATGTTCATCTATCTATCTATCTATCCCACACTGTTCACATCTATCTATCTATCTATCTATCTATCTATCTATCTATCTATCTATCTATCTACATTGTTCACACTGTTCACATCTATCTATCTATCTATCTATCTATCTATCTATCATTGTTCACGTCTATCTATTATGTATCATCATCTATCTATCTATCTATCTATCTCATCTATCTATCTATCTATCTATCTATCTATCTATCTATCTATCTATCTGTTCACATCTGTTCACATCTATCTATCTATCTATCTATCTATCTATCTATCTAGTAGGCTCAGACCCACATCACGTTGAAACACCGGTGCCCGTACGATCACTGAAGTTAAGCAACGTCGATCTTGGTATGTACCTAGATGGCTGACCGCTTGAGGTGCTGTGAGCTTGATGTGCGAGTATCGTAATGGCTTATGACTCGGAAATGTTAATCGGCGAGCCTAGTTAGTTTCCTTATATTTTCCTATACTAAAATACCTTTCTCAAAGTCATGAATCCACATCTTCTCCCCCAGCTATGGGTTAATTACCAATACTCTTCTCACTAAACCTTTATTATCATCCCCATAAAAAGTATTTTAGTTGAGCTAAAGAATATTTAAATAACCTGAAGACAGTTGATAAGCCGTAAAAAACGAATCAATACAATATAATATATATATATATATATATATATATATATATATATATATATATATATAATAGATTGTAGTGATTCTTTTTATTATACACTAGCACCGTTTCGTGTAAATAGCGTGCAGTTAACGATTACATTAGTCGCTATTCTCGAACGTGTACAATATTATTCTCCGGAATAAATTACTTCTTATTTTCTATAGTGATTTTCCAAGCGTAGCTTCGATGTGACACAAGGCCGAAATTAAGGGGCACCCAGCGAGGAAATAACTCACTACTCAATCGTAATTGTTCTAGCGAGACATGCTTGTTAACCATTACATCGCCTCAAGGTGCCCGCTTCTTATTCTCACTATGTGTGTCAACTTTTCCTATTTACGGCACAAAAATTACCGAATGTGGATATTTCTAGAACGTGTAGTAAGTGATCAAGGTTGCTTATTATGACAACATGTAAGATACGATAAGAGATGGTTTATCCTAGACTTGAAGAGGTTGAGAGTGTAGTTATCAGAAAGCATCCCCTCGGGAGTAATTTTCTATTGCACTCCAGACCATGAATATAAGACTTTCTATTTATTTTTTGTATTTTGTAAACGTTAACACGGAGTTAGTATTTACTTTCATAGTAAATAGTAAAATGCCCATGACGTGACCGAGTGTTTACAGTGAGACAAGAGTTCGAATCTCACCAGAGTCGATTTGTTAGAAAGTTTACGTATTCTGGGTCAAGAGAGAGTTTTGAAGCCTGGCGTTCTTCTAAAGAGTCTGAAAACCATACCACGGGTTAACCGAAGACTTGTGAGTTGAATCTGGTAGACGGAAAATCTCTGGGGAGCCGTCGATAGTTGAGATAGCACGAAGTCACAAGTCATCGTGACCGAGAGTTTGAGTGTGCTGGCCTTGTTCAATATGTTGTTCATGCTAGATAAGGCGCTTTCTCACACAAACTGTCACCAAGCAGGTTGACCAATCGCAAATGTGCCTAACCAGGCTAGCCACCCGAGGTCAAACGGCTATCCTTCGGTACTGATAGATAGATAGATAGATAGATAGATAGATAGATAGATAGATAGATCGTATCCCTATCAATTATATGCCACGCGTGATACACGCTTTCGATACATGATTGACGAGGCAGATTTTTTTTCTGGGAGTAGGTTGACATTTATTTCTACGGTAGACCAGTTGCCATCCAATGCTTTAGAACCTAGTTTGTTCTGCTATTTACCCATAGCTGGAGGGGCAAAAAAGAGGATTCATACCTTTCTCAAGGGCATTAGCACGTCAGTCATTCAGTTATGTGACATGCGTGACACACGCTTAGGCGATCATGTATCTTTCGATGCATGACTGACGGGGCAGATTTTTCCCGCAGTAGGTTGCCATTTCATTCTGCAGTATACCAATTGCCATCCAAGGCTATAGAACCCGGTCTGTCCTGCTATATACCCAAGGAAGAAGAGGATTCTCAAAGGTATTATCACGTAAGTGACTGTAATGGAATTCGAACTCGGCTCTCCGATTTCTCAATCCGAGCCGCCATCCATTACATTTTAAAGAACATGCCGACAAGGTGCGATGGGTAAATTGTCACAATTATACAGGGTATTTCAAAAAATTTGATATCATTTCGCAATCTAATAACTTGGTTAGATCTCCTTCAAATGACTTCAAATTTTAATAGCATCTTTATGTTTAATGTTTGTTTTATGTTTTTATGTCTTTATGTTTTTGTGTTTTTCTTATTTGTATGTTTATGTACTTTAATCTTTAATCTTTTTCTTTGCAGGTATAAAAATGCTATTTACTAGGAGAGAAAAGGCGTTTTGTGTGTTCACATAATCCACATGCCTTTGAATTTCTCAT